ACCCCCTGGGAAGTCCTCGTGTTGCACCCCTTTTCTCCTTTTGTACAGTTTTTTTTTTTTTTTAATTTTCTTTTTTTTATTTTTTTTTTCCTCCCCCCCCCCCCCCCCCCCCCAAAAAAAAAAAGCTCATGCAACTCGAGTTTTATCTAAACAAACAATATTTATACAAAGTTAAGCAATAATTCCTTAAACATCTACTGTTAACTACCTAAATATTGGAAGAAAATACAATTATGAAAACGCCTATATTTATGGGTATTTTTAGAATAATATAAATAAGTGAAAAATATATAATAAAATTGAAGAAAATTCAAGTTGACTAAAAACGATTCATATTTTCCATTGTGAGAGTTTATATTTATTCAACTTTATTATCTATCTAGCTCATTGAAATTAAAATTAACACGTCATTTAATTTAATCTTGTAATCACAATAAATATCTATGAAGTTATTCGCATTTGATTTGATGGATAGAGGTGAATTGAAAGTTAAATACTAGCGAAAATTCAAAAATTTCTTTTAAAGAGAGAGAGAGATGTCTTCAACATTCTTCATAATTGAAGTTTTAAAATCATGAAACAAATTAAAAGTAATTGGACAATGGTTGAAACGATGGTAAAAAAATTAAATACGTAAATAAAAATAACTTCTTATTCCTTTTTCAAGAATAACCATTCCAATTACTCATTTCGTCCCAATTATATAGGCTTATTTATTTTTTCACAGGGATTAAGAAATCTTCTTTAATATCATTGAAAAATTAATTTTTGTCAAAATCTCTCATAGTTTACCCCGATTTAATTTTCAGTATGTTTTAGTAAATTATTGTTGGAATTAGTAAATAATTTGAATGATTTAATATGAAAATAAAGAAATGAGAGTTGTTCCATGTTTCCAAGAAGTGGAAAATATGTGTATTTGGATGATTTCAAGTAGTTAACATATTGATTGTGGAAAATTAAATAAGGATATATTGGTAAAGAAACAAAACAAAATATTTTAAATTAGGAAACAGACCTATATATCTGGGATGAGAAGAAAGGAAATTTGACTTATATAATTGGGATGGAGAGAGTACATATGATCCATAATTACTATTTAGGCTCGGATTGATGCACATTAAAAAGAGTTTTTTGAGGGAAAAAGTTTTGGAATGATGATTTTTTTTAAAATGCTTGGTTAAAAAATAGAAAACAAATTTAAATTTACGTGCAAAATACTTTGTGTAGTTAAAGTGAGTTGGGAAGAAGGTTTTTAGAGTATGGTTGGTATACAAATACGGACTTACTTTTTCATCATCTATTTCGTGGGATCCACCACTTTTTTTATTATTGTTATTATTATAAAAATCAGGAAGCGATTTGGTAGGAATTAAAATTATATTTTTTAGTAGATTGTGATACAAGTTTTTTAAATGTATAGTTGAAAAGTTATGAGATCCATGAAAAATGTAGTTAATATTGATTATTTGATTTTGACTTAGATTAAAATTAGATTTTAATCAGAACCAAATAAGTTTTAAAGTTTTAAACTTCAACTTGAGTTCGACTTAGGCTACATATCTTTGATCGAACGAGTGTTAGACAAGCGATGCTCGATTTTCCTTGGGCCTACGTTCGGGAATAGAGTTGAGGTATTTTGGGGCTAAGTTCAGCTCGAATCGTGGCGTGGGTAGCTGGAATTCAGGATTGGTTGCTGGGATTTAGGGTTTTGTGGTGGTGGTAGAGAGCCCTTGGTGAATTTGGGGGAGGAGACGAGTTTTATGATTTGGGGGATATGAAATGGGTTTTAATTTTGCCATTCTTCCAAATTTTTTGTCTTTTTTTATTTTTTTTGGGTACAAAGACGTGTTTCAAAATGGAGGAGAATGCCAACTGTGTAGCAATTTTGATGAGTTGGCTTCCACCAATTGTGTTGTCGTGCCACGTCATCGAACACGTAGTAATTCCGTCCATTTTGTTAACTGCCATGAGCTGAGTGACTATTGGTGTGACGATTGGAAAAGTTTAGTGATGAGTTGCGTGATTTTCAAAGTTTGGTGACCCCGAGGAAACCTGGTGTAAAGTTCAGTGACTATTTGGACAATTCACTTGAAGAAAAATAGAATTCATGGGTCCGGTCCTATGCCCGCCAAGGATATTCAAGCCAACTATCCCAACAGTAAGCAACAACTAATCCTCCAAACAACACAACTCCCCTATGAATTAATCAAACGTGGTTGGGACGGTAGTTTGACCTTTTCTCGTCTATTTCTCTTATAAAAAATTAAATAAAAATATTAAACCATTCGGTAACTACTAAAAAGTTGTAGAGACCAATTCACCTTTCAACTGGACCCTCCATCCCTACCCCGCGAACTGGTCAGACCAGAATTCCATTACAAGAAAGCACTAGATATTGTAGCACAAACCTCTAGAAATTCGGACTTTAGTCATTTGATCTTATTCCCACCTAAATTTGACGAAGCAAAAAATGTTGGATTTACAGTGAAAAGTTAGTCACCTACTGTATACTTTGTCTCCACCTAAATTTTTTTCGTCTTTAGTGTTGGGAAAATATGTAATATAATTATCGCGTTTACTTTACTTCTTCGTGTTAGAACGTTCCTGAATATGGACTAACACAAAAATCGGGCAATGCCATGCATGACTCTAGATGGTAGATGAATTACTGCAAAATCAAAAGTTTTGTTTCAAATTCAGAAGAAACTGCTACTTCTATGGAAATGGAGTGTAAAACAGTGCCTGATTTGGCCATGAGCAAATTCAAGAAAGTGATTTCTCTTATGGGTCGATCCAGAATTGGCCATGCTCGATTCAGAAGAGCTCCGGTGGCTCCACCACCGCCGTCACTGCCGCCGCCACCACGGCCCACTTCTCTTTCATTGCTATCGAATCGAGTTGTAGATCAATCAGAACAATGTAAGGAAGAACCTGATAACAAAATTTACTGCCCAAAACCTATCAATCGGGTCCCTCCTTGTATTGATGATGCGAACCAAACTTCGGAGAAGACTGTTAATATCTCATACTCGCCGGCAATTTCTGGTGCAAAGCCTCCTTCGTCTTCTTTGAAAAGGAAGTGCGCCTTGTCGGAAAACGTACTTTCCGGCAAGTGCAGTGAAACTTCCGGCCAGTGCCACTGTTCCAAGAGAAGGTAAAGAAATAAATTACCCTTTTTGTTTTTACTTTTTACTGTGTATCATGCATAAGATTTTGGAAATTAATTAACAGGAAGCAAAGGGTGAAGATGGTGATTAGGGTTCCGGCGATGGGAACGAAGATTCCAGATATTACGCCTGATAATTATTCATGGAGAAAGTACGGACAGAAACCCATCAAAGGATCTCCATATCCTAGGTATTAACCCAAATCTACTTGTCCATGGATATTTGGTCGTGTTTAATAAAGAAAAATCATACTTGATAAATCAAATAATTTGAAAACAGGTTTAATATACTTTTAATTAACTTTAAAGCATGATCATATAAGAATATTTTGAAGAACGCATGATGAAGGATTTAATAAAATTTTAAAAATTTGGGGTTGTTATTCAATTTTTCTCAATAGTTAAACTAACTTTTAATTTTGGTAATAGTCGAGCTATTATTGTTTAAATATTCTGTTAACAGATCACGATAAATAAAATAGCGATTATATTCTCGTAGAATTGAAAATTTGCTATATTACGTTATATTCTCTTGTGGGATATGCTCAATCAATTAACAATGTTTTTGAATAGAATCCACAAATAAGGAATCGAATGGTATAATACTTAAAAGTTTTGAGTACTAAAAAATTCGTTGATAAGTATAAAACGGAATACGAGAGTGTCAATCTTATCATGATATAATATTTGAACTCATAGCATAGGAGATTAATTAAATAATATTAAAAATTTAAAATTTTATTAATTATATTGAAGAAATAGTCTAATATTGGTGCTTTATATTATCGTACGTGCGACAGGGGTTACTATAGGTGTAGCAGTGTAAAAGGGTGCCCGGCACGTAAACATGTGGAGAGGGCTTTGGATGAACCAAACATGCTCATTGTTACTTATGAAGGAGACCACAATCATTCCCTTTCAAATGCACAAACAAATAGTTTAATTTTAGAGTCTACATTAAGGGCAAAAGTGTAAAATGTGTAGCACTAACTAACGATGTTCGGTATGTCATCAATTCTATCTCGAAGGAGATTGAGTGATTTCCTTGTTGTAAAACACTGGATTTTTTCTTAATCCATCATGAAATTTGATACGTTAACTAGGGGAGTTACATGGGTTTCATTGAATCAATATGATTCACATTTTCCTAGTTCATGAATGCTTAGTATGATTTGTTAAACGAGTTAAAAAATTTCATAGTTATTGCAACTTATTGACCCAAATTATGAAGTTTAATATGTCAAACAATGGTGTCAAGTCATGTGTCCATTTGTCTAATTGATTTGGCACGATTCTTGTCTTTTTACGGTTTAATAATAGCATGATCATTTAGCAAGATAAACATTTTAATTGTTGACATGACGTCGGGTTCATATCGAGTTATGACGTCTCTATTAAGCGTGTCCTCTTAAATAAATATCATCCATCTTTTCACGATCCAAGATTAATATAACATGTTCATTCATAGCTCAATTCATTGCATTTTGGAGTCCATATTGATAAACTTTAAAAAAATAAAAAAATATTTATATAATAAATTGGTCTTCTCACCTACAACTATTTTGTTACTTCTGGTTTTGGATTTTGGCATTTGGTAGGTTTGAAAAGTTAAATAAATGTTTGGTAAAGATAGAGTTCCATATTACAAAGTCTAATGCATGTGGGGTATGGGGAAAGAAATGTTGGCGAGACTTAAGGTCGAATTTAACATGTGCAAAAATTTGAATCGATTCATTTTGTCCTTTATGATTAAAATGCTTTAGTATATAATTTGTTAAAATTTAAGATGTTGACGTTTGGATACATATATAAGCACCAACTGTGAAGTTTAGATATGTTAGAAATTGTTTTAGAAAATTATTTTTGATCAATTTTTGATTAATTGTTTAAGTGAAAATCGTTAGTCAATAATGAAAATTCGAAGGCTAAACATGTTCTATTTTTCGAGTAGATTATTGTATTTAATTTAGTTGCTCAAAATCAACTTCGGATGAATGACAAATTAAATTTAAACTTATGGCGCTTAAATATGTGAAAGTATTGAAAAATTAAGTAGATTGTTATGGGAGATTTTAGAACTAATTTGACTCTGAAAGTCGTTTCTTTTTCTACATGACATTTTCCAAAAGTCACATTTTTTCATTGTAGAGACATGATTTCGAAACACAACTTTCGGAGTTTTGCAAACAATTTCCATCAACCAATGATAAAATGTCACTTGTGCATTATGTACAGTTGTACAACATCGAGGAGTAAACCCTAATGTACATATAGAATAAATTCTTATTATATATAGACCTCAATGTTTGGAATTTTCATTCATTCACTTTATCCTCAAATTATCATACTAGTGCATATTTATTCCAAAATAATTTTTCATTTATTTTTAATCGAGTTAAATGAAAAAAAGAGATCAAAACATCAGTAAGTCCGTTGGTCTACGTAATACAAAGTGCTTATATCACAGGATGTGATCTTAAGAGACGATTGTTGAAACCTCAACATTCATGCGGAGTATTATCATCTTTAAATTGTTGAGAAAACTAATTGGAATAAATTGTGCACCCAATCAAATCATTTTGCCCTAAATAAACAGAAACCAAAGCTTGCATTAATGGATATACACAAAATTAATAACATGTTTAAACTATGTACTTGATTATTGACTACATATCAAGACTTTACATATTCGATTTCTCAGTACATATATGAAATAAGATCGAACCTTGAGATTGCACTTCTATTATTGCACACAGTAATGTCAACAATTTTCAACAATGGCTTCTTTGAGACATAAAAAACAACCCTTGCTTGCTATAGTGACGGATTGGCGTCTACGACTTGTATTATGTCCTCATTTGACCCTCATTATTTGAATTTATGATGCGGGGAATAATATTTTTTTGAAAAATGAATGATTGTAAAAGAATGAAAAGTTTTTTATTTGCGTAAAAAAATCATGCTACAAATACATTGAGTTTGACACTAAGTTTTACATTGTGCCACGTAGCAACATCATATTGGACAATTTTTGAAAAAAACACACTGTCCCACCGACTCCATTTTTAAAAACATTTCAAAACAATGGAGTGTCAAACTTCATGTCAAGCAAACGATGTACAAAAAGCCTTATTGTTACGTAAAATATTATTTTATTGAAAATTGTGTGATTGAAAATAGGAAAAAGAAAAATTAAAATTAAATTGATGAGTTTTAAAGGGGGCTATAAAACAATCATACCATGAGTATAGAATTTTTTGGCAAAATTTTTTTTTACAGACAACACATGGTGCATGCATCATTGGAAGATGGAAAAAAAAAAATCAACTCAATCACATTTTGTCACGTAAATATCACTACACATTCTTTCAAGTTTTTTGTGTACTTGAGCTTTATTCATTATAAATGCCCATGGTGACAAAAATCATTTTTTTTTTTTTAACGAGGCGTCCAAGCTTCATTTGAAGATGAAAAAAAAAAAAAGTTCAACCACATTTTTTCGTGTCAGTATCGGTACACATTCTTTTAAGTTTTTTGTGTACTTGAGCTTTATTCATTATAAATAGAGTTATGCTATTCTTACAAAGGGGTTGTTAAAGTTGGATGACAAAATCATATTAATACCAATCATTTCAAAAATAGATTTTTAAATCATTTGAAATCAATTGTCTGAATTTTATCAACATATTTTGTAACCCAACTTCGTATAAGTAACTTTATTGTGGTTTGGTTTAGTGGCGGCGGCGGC